GGGCTGCCCACCCAGCCAACAGCTGAGCTGCAGGCATCTGCCCTTCGGTGGTGAGAGCGTCGGGGCCCGCTGGGGAGCCCGCCTCCCCATCCAGCGTGCGGGCGTCTTGGAGGTCCACCATGGACAGGCTCTTGCCACCGTTGGCCATCTGAAGATCAGGCTCGTTGGCTTCCGAGTAACTCGAGCTGCGGGCAGGTGATGGCTGGACCCCGGAGGACCTTGTGACAAAAAACAAGTCCTTGTTTTCGGGGGTTGGAGACGGTAACCGGGTGAAATCTATCAGACTGCAGGGAGACAAGCACACACAGGGAAAGAAGGGGGAAGAGAAGAACTGTGAGTGCGGCCAAGGCGGGTCCAAACCGAGAGCCCCCGCCAAGCTGCCGGGCCTGGCGGCCGGAGCCAAGGCTGGGGGAGGAGAGGAGGGGTGGGGAGGGAGGGGAGATGCTGGGGCAGCAAGAATCGGAGAGTCCTGGGGCCCAGACGCAAAACCCACAGCCTGGGCAGCCGACCCCAGCGGAAGCCACTGTGGACTGGCTGGCCGAGGCGGCAGCTCCTGCACAGAACCTGTGCCAGGGGCCAGCCTGCTAGTGGCAGGCCAGCTGCATCTGGGGATGATGGGTAGCGAGGCCAGGGCGTTCCGGAAATTTCCCTTAGCTGAACCCCAACCCACAACGCAGTGGCTCTCTGCTCCCCAGGGTCCTGCACAGAGGAAGCCGACTTCAAAGCCACTAGGGCTCTCTCTGCCTCTTCCTTCTTGTTCCTGATCAGCCTGAGACCGAGGTGGGGGCCTGCTGAAGCCTCCCCTGCCCAGCCTCCTGCTGCCACCCCCCCTGACTGACTGACAGGCAGGCGGGGGCTGGCGTTCCTGCTAAAAACACGGAATCAGAGGAGGATCCTCCAGGCATGACTCACGCGCGGAGGGACTGCCCCTGCAGTGGCAGGCTGTGCCCTCCCCGGGTCTTCAGCCTCTTCCACTCCCCTCCCCGAATGTGGCCCCATGGAAGACGGCAAGATGGAGGGGGGCCAGCCAGGCTTGGGAGGGAAGGCCGTGGGGGTGAAAAGGGCTCTGAGGGGGCTGGAGGCAGCAAGGACTTTAGGGTTTGACATGAGCTTGGAAGGGGAGTAAGAGTTGGCTTAGCCTGGAACGGAGAGAGGAAGCGCCAAGCACCAACTGGTGGGCTTCGGCAGGGCAGGCTGTGACCACTTGACAGCCCTTGTGGGCTGAGAAGACGTGGCCAAGGTGGCAGTGGAGCTGGGAGAAACCCACACCAGCAGCCACCTGGTCAGGTCTCCTCAAAGCCACGCATCCGGCCATCTCTCAGCCAAGGTGTGTGCCCACCTGAACGAAGACTTGCCTCACTAGGCAGGTTGTATAAATGAACCCCAAGACTCAGAGGGACCTGAGAAGTGGCATCTGGCCTCCAGTCCTGTGCCCCACACCCTCATCCACTTAAAAGCCCGCCACTGCCACCACCTTCAGGGGAGACCTCCCAACTCTGCTGGCCCAGCCACATCCTCACCAGCTGGCCCAAGGCGGCCCCTGGTAGGGAGGGGAGTGTACAACGGAGGCATAGAGGGGTCAATAGAAACGCCTCTGTTTTAAAGGAATAGCCTCATTTTGATGTCAATATTAGAGAACGTGTCCCTCTTCCTCCACCAAGTGTGCGTTTTGCCCCAGGGCTGAGGGCTTAGAGTGAGGGTCAGGCCTGAGCTCCCAGCCTCAAAGCCTCATAGTTACCCAAACTCCTGCTGAACACACAACCCTGCACACCACTTTTGGAGATTCCGACTGGGCCTAGCAAATACCAGGAGAACTGGTATGTTTGACACACCTAGACGACCTGGAGGTATTTGGGACCAATAATTGTTCTTCAACAGAACATTGTTGCCTTTGTGTTAGTCCCTCTACCCAGAATGCTTTTTCCATCAATGAAAATGCTCAAAACTACTAAAATGCTAAAAAGCTCAAAACTACAGCACCACCTCATCCAGGCAGCCTTCCCGGATTTTTCCTAAATGGAGGCTCACTACTGAGGGCCTGCACAACACATTTCCAGGCTCACCAGCTTGTTTTATGAACACCTGCGTCGGCCTCCTCCTGCCCAGCTGAGACTGCATGCAGGTGGGTAGCACTTTGCACGTGCACCCCACAACTCCCAGCACACCTGGGTCTCTTACCCAGAGAGATCATTCTCGATCACCATCTTCTGCAGCCCGGCCGAGATGCTGCTGCTGCCAGAGCCAGGCGTGGAGGCCAGGTCATTTGTCCCTGGGAGCTGCCCACTGCCCGGGGTGCTCAGTGCCGTGTGGACGTCCCTCAGGATTCGAGGCAGGGGCCCCAGTTTGGATACGATGCTCTGTGAAGACACACGAAGAGGCAGATGTGACCTGCTGGGGCCACCTGAGCTAGCTGCAGCCATGGTGGTTTAAAACTCCTGAGTCTGCTGGGGCCACCTGGAGAGGCCAAGTGAGCTAGCTGCAGCCATGGTGGTTTAAAACTCCTGAGGCATCAGGCAGAAATGCAGACCTCTCTCCTACCAGTCAGATCCAGCAGGTCGGAGGTTGGCGGGGGAAGGGGGGGGATGCCAAGGACTGTGCAAATTACATATTTACCAGCTTCCCAAATATTTCTGAGATGAAGGTGTGAGGCCCACAAGGAGAAATGCTGAACCAGTCCTAGCCTTTGACCCAAGTTCATCCTACCTTTGCCTCCAGGGAGGAAAACACACGAGGAATTCAGAACTTTTCGCAGCTACACCTCCCCATCTGAGAGGCTTCTGGGACAGCCCCTCCCACATCACCTCCTCCAGAGGGTGGGCGGGGCCTGACCCATCAATACCCGAGGCCCAGTGGACATGGTCCAGGCACAGAGCAGGCACATGGTGGGATTAACAAGTGGAGGGCCAGGCAGAGGCAGCACCGCACTGCCATGGTTAAGACTGACGGTGCTAAGGATGCCGGCTGTGGGCCGAGCTGAGGGAAGGGGACCCTGCCTTCACCTGCTTAGCCACTGGCTTCCAGGTAGGACTTTGTGCAGAAAGAAAATGTGAAAACTCGTGTTGTCATCAACAGAGCAGAGACTCGGGAGGCAGAGCGCTCCGTTTCAGTCCTGCTGCAGCACCGCCAGCTGTGATGGCTGCTGACCATGTGCAGATATGGGGCCGGCACAGGGGCTTAGGAAGTGGAGGCACTGGGGTGACTGGCCTTGGTTTCCATTCCCTTCCGTGTCTCTCGCAGCCAAAGGGCAGTGGACAAAGCTGAGCAGAAACGACTGCATCAGCATCTGTTGGTGGTGAAAAGCTGGACTAACCCGAGTGTCCGGCAACAGGGGGCAGTGAGCCGCAGAGCAGACGTCCACACAGAGTGTGTGAGACACACACACTGCAGTGCACACCTACGTTCTCCCTTTAACACACTCCAACCAGGAAAAGAGCTCTGTGCTTGCGTGTGCACCTGACACACGCGGATACATCCAGAGGCTGCAGCCCTGAGCGCCCTGCGTGGTCCCCTCCGGGAAACAGGACAGGAGCGGGAGCCTCCAGCCCTGGTGCAGCAGGAACTGCTTTTGTAAGGGGGTCTCTCGGAGCCCCAGGAAGCAACAAATATCCTGGAGGTCGACGGTGGCAGGTACAGCCCTTGCTGCCAACAGCCTGTCCACTGTGGGCAGAGCTGCTGGGGGCGGGGCGGGGAGCCCCGGTGGCTGCAGCCATCTCAGGGGTTTCTGGGCAACAACCATTTCAACTGACTTGACGGCCAAGGGCAATTGTGGGAAGGTTTGTAGGAAGGTTTGTAACTTCCTGCCTGGTGCTTGAAGGTATAGCGGAGCATACTTGGACTTTTTCTTATGGTGCCCTTAACACCCAGAACAAGGACATTCACAGAAAGAGCTCAATCTGACCACATTTCTCACCGGTAGGGAACACACCTTCATACGTGGAATCCGCCCACTCAGCACGGAGTGTGCAGAGACACAGCCAAAGCCCCAGTACCCAGGATGGGCTCCCGGCCCGCAGGTGCTGGCGAGGGAGCGTGGCACCCCCACCAGGGAAGCGGGCCCCAGAGATCCCAGCATGTGCCTCGGGGCTGAGTGGGAAGTGTGAGCCCAGCACCTGGGCAGGCTGCTGGTCTGCACAACACAGGAGAGCCCTCTGTCCGCACCCTGCCCGTGGGACAGGACAGGCACCTGCTCCAGCTGGCTGACGGCCTCCCAGAGCAGCGCGTGCAGGCTGGACAGCTCGCGGCCCAGGTCGATGTAGCCCTCGAAGCCGGCGGTGTTAGAGATGGTCTCCGGGTTGGAGATCTCCAGCAGGAAGCGCTGCATGTTGGTCCACTCGTGCTCCAGGAACTGGTTCATGAACGACATGTACTCCTCTTTGCTGCCAAACCTGGAGGGAGAGCAGGCGGGGTGAGCGACCCAGGTCCGCGGACGGCCTGAAAGCCAGGCTCACCCAGGAACCCTCCTTCTCGGAGATACTGCCCTCAGCTCCCATCCCTCCTCACCCACTGTGGCCACTAATCCACCAGCCAGCCGATCTGCTATGACTCAGGGCCCTCGTTCCTCAGGGACCCTCACAGGACCTGGAATGTTCTGTGGCCCTCATTCCCCTTTCACTGCCAGTCACAATCTCCTTCCTCTCTCCCTCCAGGTTTCCAAGGCCTGGTGGGCAGATGATTCCCAATCTATGCTCGGCCAGGCCTCTCTGCTGAGCCTGCAGACGTGTGTCCATAGCATCTCCCCTCGCACCCAGCCTGGCCAAGCCTGAAGTCATCACCGTCACCCCAAGCCCATGCCCTCCTCCCAGACTCCCTGTCCCAAGTGGAAACCCAGGTCCACCAGAGAGCTGAGCCAGAGCCTGTCCCGTCATCTCCGCCCTCCCACCCGGCAAGGCCGCTGACTTTGTCTTCTCATCACCCATTGACCTTACAGCCCCTGCCTCCTGCATCACCTCTCCAAACCCTAATTCCCTTTTGCCAGAAACACAGCTGTGCTCTGCTGAGGTCTCTCAGGTGCCAGTCCCACTCCCTCCAACCCCCTCCCCACTGCTGTCAAGCTGACCTTTTTAGGATCCAGAACAGACAAGGGCCACCCCTCCGCCCCCCATGCTTAAAGCCCTGCCTGGTCTTCAGGTGCCTGGCCTTCAGGTCCCTGCGTCCTCCTGGGTCTCGTCTCCCACTTCTCCCTGCCTGTCACTTGGAGATTCAGGAATGCCAGGGTGCCTTGTCCCTATAGCACACGGCCCTCCCAGGAGCTGCCCTGCCTCTGCTCCCATCGCTCAGCTGGGGGGCACGTGTCTGGGGAAGTCTCTCTGTCTCCTCTCCCAGCAAGCTGAAGGCCCTCCTGAGAGACCGCGTGCACCTCTGTCGCCCTCCCCTGTCTAAGGGCTGGGACCAGGCGTGACTCCGAGCCCAGCACAGAGGGGCCCGGAACTGGCGACTGGATGACCAGCCCTCCCGTTTCTGCCCCCTCGCTCTAAGGCAGTGATGGCGAACCTATGACACGCGTGTCAGAGGTGACACGCGAACTCATTTTTTTGGTTGATTTTTCTTTGTTAAATGGCATTTAAATATATAAAATAAATATCAAAAATATAAGTCTTTGTTTTACTATGGTTGCAAATATCAAAAAATTTCTATATGTGACACGGCACCAGAGTTAAGTTAGGGTTTTTCAAAATGCTGACACGCCGAGCTCAAAAGGTTCGCCATCACTGTTCTAAGGTATAGTCCAAACACCGACGTGCTCGAAAAGCAAGGACATCCTTGACAGCATTACACAAGGACAGTGTGAAACAGCCCGCGTGCCAGCTCAGGGGCCGGGCTAAGGAAATATGGGCCCTCCTCCCTGAAGGCATATTAGTCATTCGTTTCAAAACGAGGCTTATGGATGTTAAGCACATGGGAGAATCCTTATGATTAAATGTCCATTTGAAAATGCTGAAGGAAAAAACATCTTGGCTTCTCACCTCTGAAAATTAAGGAAACATACCAAAATGGCATGTACCTTTGGAAGGGAGGGAGGACGGGGTGTGGAGGGGACTTCATTCTGAAAAGGGGGAGAGGGAGGACTGAGCAGGACGGGGACAAAAGCAGGGCCCATTGCGCAGCCCAGCTCCGAGGAAGACACACCCATGGCCTGCCCCCGTGGGCTCCTGCCCGTCGGGGACACAACACTCACTTGGCAAAGTTGGCCAGGTTCTGGGTAACCTTGGCGATGAGGGTGAGGGTGCGGGCAGTGCGGTCATCGGGGTACTCCTGCAGCAGGTTGAAGAGCGAGGGCGACATGATGGCCGGGCAGAGGAAGCGCAGAAACAGGGAGGCGCTGATGAGCCGCTCGCTGATGTCCGGCCGGCCGCGGCTGCTGCACTCTTGCCGCCACGAGGCGAACACCTCTTTCAGCTCCCGTGGGAAGACACTGGGCAGGAATAGACAAGAATGGGCCTGGTGGTCAGGCAGGGTGCCAGGACAGGTGGGTGCAGAGCAGGGACCTGGTTCTGGGTCCGATGGAACCCTGAGCTCCAACCCTGATAGCTATGAGCTGGCCCTGCTGCCCATCACCATTCTATCATCCATCCATCATCCATCCCCCTATCCATCACCCACCGGACAGGGCTGCTGGGGGAGCTGAGGCAGCACAGGGCGGGCAGAGCGAGTGCCCAGGAAGGGCAAGGGGTGCAGGGCCAGGCACTGAGTGATGACATCTACCCATGGCACCCAGAACTGAGAGGTGCCTCTGGGTCTCTGACAAACACCAGAAAGAGGAAATGGAAAATCATTGTCCACGATGTTTCCCTGAGTGCCACACCCACTGCCCTGGGAATAGCAGGGCAGAGTGAAAACAGCCTGGCCCAGGGCAGGAAGTGTGTTCCCTCAGAGTTCAAGGCTCCCAGGTCACCGCCCCGCCCCCTCAGTGCCATGGGTCACGTGACCTAGCCCGAAGGGCCAGGCTGGTCCCAGGTGAGCCCAGGAGCAGAGGGGGGTTCAGGGGGCACTGGCCCCGCTGGTTCTGACCATCCTCTCACCTAGCAGGCCTCTCTGCTGAGCAATCACGGGGCCCTTTGGTGTGCCCAGCCCTGAGCTGGGGCTCCACCAGCCTGGTGCTCCCAGCATGTGCAGGAAGCAGATTTACACGCAAGCACAATCCCACTCTGATGGGATCAGGGCTGGGACAGAGGATGCCCAAGAGGGTGAGCTGACCTAGGCAGGCCACAGAGGGAGCCAGGCATAAGCCTTAAAGGAGAAAGGGAAGAAGTGTGACCAAAGAGAGGAGTCAAGTATCGCTGGGGGTGGGGAGGGGGACGCAGGTCCTGAGATGGTGCCGTGACGGGAGAAAATCTGAGCAGCCCGTGCAGTGTGAAAATAACCCGTGCTCGGCACTGGCAGCACATCCCCGTCCTGGAGTTACGCCTGCCTCACCATTAGCAAGGCTGTACCCTGCAGTCAGCTGGCACCACACCGACCTGGGAGCAAGCAGGTGCCCTGCAGGCCATGGCTCAAGCACCAATCCTGGCCCCGACTGTGGTCCTCTCTAAACAGCCCGTCCGCAGGCCCCGCTCCTTCTCTCGGGGCTGCAGAACTATGTTCTCCTTAGACCCCCATCCTTTCTTTTCTGTCCCTACAGTCCAGGCACCACACGAGCCCTAGCTGAGCCCAATCACCAGCCTGTGACATGAGCACCAACAGACGAGGGGTCTCAGGTTAAGTCATCCACCCACCCCAGGGGGGTGCCTGAGCTGGGCCTTGCCAGTCTCGCTCCCTGTGCAGCCTCAGCACCTACAACAGCACCAGGCACAGGGGGCGCTCGCTAATGAACACGTGCAGTGGACTGCCGCTGCTCCCAACCCTCCACGCGGCACAAACCATGTCCTGCGTGGTCTGGAACACTCCCTCACATTGGAGAACCCAAAAAAGGCCAAGATTTGCAGAGTCAGGCAGAGGGGTTCCCATCCCAGAGCCACCTCTCTGAAGCTGTGTGAGGCCACAGGCGTGTCCACCTGCCCTCTCCTGGGTGAGCCTCAGCTCTCTGGTTTGTAAGTCAGGCACAGGCAGCAGCCCCTCCCTGAGCCGTACGCATGAGGACGGCACACCATGCCTTGCACCGCACCTGGCACACTGCAGGCACTGACACAGCACGGGTCACACGATGGGTGAGGAGGCCTGGGCAGCTGAGCCCAGGGAGGGAGTGCGGGGCAGCACTGACCAGTAGGAGTTGATGATCTTGCAGAAGGCCAGTTCACAGCACATCTTCAGGTTGCCCTGGTGCTCGGGAAGGTCACCGGCCGAGCACTTGCTCGGGTCCACCTCGCAGTTCTCGTCTGACTCATACAGCGCTTTGATGAACTCGCCTGTGACCGGGAGGGAGGGCAGGGAGGGGCAGTGAGGACCTGGTGGCCATGTCCCACCGTCTGCCCATGCCGGCCCGAACCCTCCCTACCTAGCGCGTCCTGCAGATACTTCTGGCCCACCAACTTGAGGTACTCCTCGATGGCCTTGGTGGCCAGCGTGTTCTCCCGGAAGATGAGGTGCTCGTTGTCCCCGCAGCGGTCCACCTCTGACATCATCAGGTCAGTCAGGAAGTCCTGGGGAGGCAGGCAGTGAGGAGGGAGGACCTGGGCCAGCCGGTAGGGAGGACCCTCGGGTTCCACACTCGCTGCCCGGGCAGCCGCCAGAAGCCCCTGCTTCCCAAGGCTGCTCCACTGTCCACCTCGGGAGCTGCCAGAGGGCAGGGGCGCCTGGTGACATCACAGCTGTGTCTCAGGACCGGGGAAGGCAGGCCTGGGCAAGAGCATGCCACATGGACACGAGCTTCCTGCCCCATAGCCAGACCAGCTGGACTCAAATCCCTGCTTGGCCCTGAGCAGGCCTGGGTGACCAGGGAACCCCCACCCCCCATCACCATCAACGCCAGAGAGGACAGACGGGCACCCTCTCCACTATCTACCCATGACTCTGATGAGTCTCCCACACCAGACATGGCTTGCTCTGCGTGGTGCGGCAGAGAAGGAGAGAGGCAGAGGCTGCCCGGCTGCCTCGGGGGCAGTGAGCCAGTGCTCAGTGGGGGAGAGAAGGGACCTTGGCTTCGTTGGGAAAGCGGGGGCACCACCGCCCACCTGGCAAACCCAGGGCAGCAGTCCCTCACTGCTGAGGGCAGCTGTTAAGTAGATGAGCCTGCTGGTCCCCCAGGCAGGGTCATGGGCAGAGCCCAGGAGGCAGCCTGGCCCACATCTCCCCCCCTGCAGGGAGGCTGGAGAGTAAACCTGCTGCCACAGCCCAGATGGGAGCTCCCTCCCTCCAGAGACCCTCCTCCCACCCACAGCTAGCCTTGTGACTTGGGGGAGGGAAGAGGACAGGCAGGGAGTCAGAGGCCCAGGGGAGGTTGAAGGGCAGGGCAGGGGCCACCAGCAAAGAGGCTACAAGGTGGCCAGCGTGGGCCAGGGTTTCTGGTGTGCACAACTTTGGGAACCTCTCTGACATCACACGTGGCCCCTCAAATACAGAACTGAGCTTGCGGCCCAGGAGGCCCTGCTGGCCAAAGGAGAGATGATGGGGGGTTGGGGGGGGGTGTTTAAGTAGCTTCCGCTGCCTCTGGGGACCACATAATCTGAGGAGCCCTTCCTGACCGTTAGCTGACCTCTGGGATCTCCTCGGAACATGGAGGCAGGACCCCAGCTCCTCCGCCTGGGTCTTCCTGGGCTCATGGAGGGGTACTCAGCCCAGGCTGGGTGAGGAAGAGCTCTGTAGAGCGAGGACCCAATGAGGGGACCAGCACAGAACAGGAAAGTGACCTGTCCAAGGCCACAGCTCCCAGGCCAGACCTGGCCCAGGTCTCCTGCTTCCCAGAACCCGTTCCTCCTGCTGCACTGAGGGGAGAAGGGGTGGCAGGGAGAAGCCCTTGGAGTCCATGACAGACTGAAAAGTCACTGCTCACTTCCTCACTACAAGCTGCCATCCCGCCCCTCAGCTCCACATCTGCCGCAGCGGTGGGGGCAGAAGAATGAAACTCTTCACTCCACGACACCTCGCTTGGGTTTAGGGGGACCACCTGGTCAGTGCCCCCGATAGGGCTGAAATCCATGCCTTGGACATAGGGAACAGCAGGTAACCTTGTGTGTCACCGGGCCTTCCCCAGGGCCCGGACACGGGCACACGCACCTTCACCTTGCCCGTGCTCTGGAGGATGTGCACCAGGGCCGACGCCATCTCCTCCTTGGTCTTGGCGCTCAGGATGGGCTCGAGGGCTGCGCAGAGCCCCAGGTAGTGGTTGGTGATGTGCTCGGCAAACTCCTTGTACATCTCCATGGGCAGGATGCTGATGGTCTGGTAGCGCGCCTTGATGCGGATCATGGGTCCGGGGCCCTTGCCGCCCTTGGGGTTGGGCGTCATCACTGGGTACCACTTTTCCACGAACTGCCGCCCGGCCACCGAGGCGGCGGGCAGGCTCACCAGGCCCAGGTAGCTGTTGCGCTCCTTCTTCTTCTTCTTGTCGGTCTCCCGGTACAGGTGGACGGTGACGGTGCGCAGGGGCGGCAGGTTGTGGAACTCAAAGTGCTCGCCCCAGAAGACGTTGTCCGTCTTGAGCTTGCCCGTGGTGCGGGCGTAGAGCACATCGTCCAGGCACAGCTCGCACAGGTACTTCTTCTTGGCCGGCAGGTCCTTGGCCTCGATCACCCACAGCTTCAGGATGTGCTCCACACGCCGGCTGTTGTCCTGCATGTGCACAAGGTGAGCCGTGGTCACCGAGGGGCCGGCCACCTGCCCACCGCCTGGCCAGAGCTGGGGGAGCTCTCAGATCCAGGAGAGCCCTACGTGTGGGGACGGGCCAGGCACCGACAGGATGGGAGGGGAGGGACAACTCTGGAGTCTGGTGGCCACGAGGCTGGATCTCTGCTCTGCCTCAAACGAGCTCACTGACCTTGGGCAGGTGACTTAATCTAAGACTCAGTTCCCTTTTCCATAAAATAGGAACAAATGGTGAGAGATCAAGTAAGAGGTTAGCACAGTGCTTGGCACCGCAGGCCACTGTGCTACGTATCAGGCCTTCTAGTTTGCTGGTCTGTAAGTCACTTAAGAGGGGACCACTGCTAAGGCCCCTCCGCAGTGATGTCATGGTGACCAGGCTCAGCCCAGGCCCGGTCAGCCAGGGGGCAGACACAGAAGCAGGTGATTAGAGTTGGGGCCCATGAACCTGATGGGGGAAGCCCAGGGCAGTGGGAACACAGAGCAGGGCGCCAGGCTGGGCCAGCGGTGCTCACCGGAGGATGGGACAGAAGTCAAAGCTGGAATTGGATGGGTGGCCAGGAATCGGCCAGGGGAAGAGAGACAAGAGGTCCAGGCAGAAGGCCACCAGCACCCAACTCCCTAACAGCCCATTCTCAGTTCTCTGGCCCAGCCTCCGTGGTGTAGCTTCGAGGACAGAGGCCCACAGCACCTGAGTCGGCCTGGCCACCTCGAACCCCTGTTCCAGGGCCCAACCCTACTGCCCACTCAGGCCCCACCCCCACAGGCTGCCCCTGCCCCCACCCAGCCCAGCCCACGCCAGAGATCCCACTGTGCTCCCTGGTGTCAGAGTCTGCGCGCTGCAATCCCCGGGCTTTGGTGAGAGGGGACGCAGCCTACCTTGTTGGGGTGCACTGCTCGCCGCAGGTTCTCCATCCACTTATCCCGCTCGGCTGCTGACCGGCAGGAGAAGCACTTGCTTCCTGACGATGTTGTCACCTGTGGGGCCAAATAGGACAGTGTCACAGGGGGGAACCCAGCGAGGGACAGGGCAGGACAGAAGACCTCTGGGGTCGGGGCCTGAGCCACCAGGTCTGCAGCATTGCCTCGGGAGAGGGCAGAGAGAAGCTCAGAATGGCCTCTCTATTTCCCATTGGCAGGTGGTGCCGTGAGATCACTGTCCCAAGTGGGTGACAAGAGGGTGGCCCAGCCCTGACCATCTGGCTCCTGGCCCTGGCTCCTCTCCCCCTTCCTCGGCATCCTTTGTCCACGGGAAGTATCTTTCTGACTCTAACCTCACTCTCCGAGGATGGGAAGAGAGAAGGCACGGGGTACCTGCCCGGGTCGGGGTACCTGCCTCCCTCTCTAAGTGGAGCCACGGGCACCAAGGACACACCCTGGGTAGGCACAAGGATCACCTCCGTCCTCGGCTGACCCTTGCTGACGGTTATCTTTTGCCGAGTGACAGTAACAACGATGGTCACAGAAACTTAACATTTTTAGGGGCCAGACTGGAGAAATGAAAACTGGGCCGTCCAGGTGTGCTGGGCCTGGGGTCCTCCTGCCTGGAACCCGTACCCTCCCTCGCCATCGGACTCTCGCTCCTCCTCCAATCCCCACCGGTGAGGAAGCCCAGCCCAAGCGGCTCCTCCTCATCCACTGGCCCCAGCACCATGCTATGGGCTCGACAGAAGGGAACCAGACTCCTTATCCAGCCACTCAAGGGCCGGCACAAGCCGTAGCACCCACTGCTGTGGACCAGTGCCCAGGCACCGTCATCAGCCTGTCCCAGGCAAAGAAGCCGGAGCCCAGATGGAGCCCAGCTGGACCAGGAGTCTTGATGCAGAAACAATGGGCACAAGGGGTGGGGCAGATGCCAGGCACATTCCACTCTTTCCCTGGGGCTGGGTTGCCAGGAGGTTGCCACGAGTCCCCGATGGCTGACTTTCATTACCAGGCTCATCCCTCCATCAGAGAGCTCCCTAATTATGTAAGCTCCTTGTGGGTGGGAGTGGAGGGTGAGGTGGGCAGGGAATCTGATTGATGAGAGAAGCAGTCAGGAACTCCCAGGAACACCTACGACATTCATCACCCCGGTTCTGGCACGGCCTCAGGCTTGTGGTGTGACCTCTAACATCTTGCCTCTCTGGCCTCAGATTCCCCATCTACTGTGAGAGACTGGACAGGTGATTCCCCAGGTACAGCCCTGCCAGGTGGGTTGCTGCCCTCTGGTTGCTCTTAAACCTTACGTCACAGAATACTGGGGCACAAAAGATTCTGATGTCTTTATAGAAGGGGGAGACTGGCCCAGAAAAGGGGGTGCTCTCTACCATTTAGGGGGTTTCTAAGGAGGGTGAGCAGGCTTCAGGCACAGGCCCTGGAGCTTAAGCAATTCTACATGGACTTTTACCCCCTTTTACTGCCGGGAGCTCTTGCCCCCACCAGCATGGAGAATAGTGCTGGTCTGTCTCCAAGGAGCCCACAGAGAAGGAACGAAGCCCCCATCTCCAAGTTCTACCTGGTCTCTTAGGAGCCAAAAACAATGGACAGTTTCCAGCCATTGTCCCAAAGCTGAGGCCACCGAGGACTCTAGGAGGGGTCTGGAGACCCGGCCTGGCTCGGAGATGCGACCAGAGCCTACCTGCCCCCAGCGGACCCACCTCGAAGCAGTAGTCCTGGCCCAGGATGCTGCTGTGCACGGGCTTGATGACCACCTCCTCCTCCATGCTGAGGTCCAGCGCCTCCACCGCGCTGCTGGGGCTGAGCAGGGACTCGTGGGAGCGAGACTCCTTCACCCTGGGCATCAGATGGGACCTGGGGGGTGGGCAGCAGGTGTGTCAGGCTGGGCCTGTCACTCCCCTCCCCTGCCCTGTCCCCTCTCCTCCAGGAAGCCTGCCCAGACCCCCCAGTGGGAGGTAGTCACTCCTTGATCAACCCCCAAGTCCTTGTCCTCTAAAGGCAGACTTGGGGGAGGGGCACGTCTGTGCAGGAGTCACAGAGACCCAGTATCGGTCCCTTTGCCCACTGCAGGATGCTGAGTGACTGGCTCAGCCTCTAAGGAAGCAAGTGGCTGAGGATGAACCAATCAGGAGCTGAAAGTCAGCACTGAGTGCAGGGCAGGGTCTGCCTGGCTCCCAAGCAGACTCTGAGACCCACATAAAAGAGGTGAGCTCAACCAGGTAGCCTTCCCCACCCATCCCATCCCCTCCGCCCTGGTCCCCATCCAAGACCAGAGTAGTCACCCATTTGTCCAGAATGTTACTGCCAACAGAGCCCTTTCTCATACGCCACCCCACTCGAGGCAGGAGAGCCACAGGGACCTCTGCTGCACCCATTTTATAGATGAGGGCAGTGAGGCTCAAAATGCCAAAATCCAGACAGGTCCACATGCCGGGGCTTGGGGGCCCAGGCCTGGGACAGTGGGCCCAACACAGATACAAAGAGCAGAGGTAGTGGATGCCACCTGGTGCCGACGTGGAGCCTGGACCTGGACTGGCGGACAGATCTGGCCTCACTTCTCGCCTGCTATGTGGCCCTGGACAAGTCACTACCCTCCCTGAGCCTCGGTTTCTCAGCACAGGCCATGGAAAGAGCCTCAGAGGGCACCTGCACCAGTGCTTGGTGGAGTCTGCCTCAGAGCTGTGCAAGTCCCTCTTCAGAGCCACCGCACACAGCAGTGCCCGTGGGAGCTGCCTCCCACGGCTGGGCACAGGAAAAGCTGTAGAGCCAGCCAAGCCTGATAAGACCACCTCTGGCGTGGAAGCTGAGCAAGCCTTGCCCCTCTTCACGTCCACGGCCCAGACCCCCGGCATTGGCACAAAACCCTCCCTGGGCTTAGCTCACCCAGATGTCCCAATCCCTCTCCCTCTCAGCTCCTGGCCTCCAATCCATCAATCTCTCCCTGCCCTCATGTCAGTGAGGCCTGGCAGGGTCACCACACACTTCCCTGCCGGACACACACCTGTAACCTACTTCTATGACCAGCGAAGTAAGGGAGGCTGAGGCTACTATGTGTGCGATCAGGAATCCAGAGAATAGCGGACGGGTCCTGCTCACAGGGACTCACAGGCTGACAGAGGCCACCCTCCACCCCCAAACTCCACGTCACCATGGCAGCAGCCCACCCTGACATGGAGTCCTTTGCTGGGCGAGGCATGGGAATGAGAGCTGGAACTGGGACCCCAGCCCTTGGGGACCCCCAAGAGGCAGTCAGCTTCCCTGCACCTGCTCCCCAGGCCCAGCATGAAGCTGGCACATGGCAGGGCTCAGATCACTTGCGCCGTATTGATGTCCTCGGGCAGAGCTTCTGAGAGCTCCAAAGGAATGGAGAGACCACAGGGAGGCTGTGAGACAGACTGAAATCAAGTTAGAAACACCCGAACCTCCACAGGGCCCCCGTGTGGAACTTTCCGTGAGGCCCAGCCCACCAGCATCCCAGCTGGGGTGCCTCTGCTCTTCCAGCGCCCTCTCTGGGAGGCAGTGGTTCACACACATGGGCTATGGCCGAACACATCACCCCGTGCTAGGTGCCCACAGGCTTCTGCCTTTGACAAGCCCTCCACCTGCTCCCCCATCACACTACTGACCAATGCCTTGGGTAGGTCTGTTATGCCCAGTCAATATTCCACCCAGGGCTGCTCTTCCTCATGGGGCTTCATGGCCAGTGCAAGAGAAGACCCTGCCTCAGATGCTGGGGAAGTCACCAGGCCAGGAACGGCAGGGACCCACAGTCCCTGGGCCTGCCATGCAGGGCTGGAAACCCAGCCTGCAGATTGGGATCGGGCTGCTTACTGGCCCAGCCCAGAAACCCCTGCCAGGTAAAGATGCTGGGAACCAGGGCAGGTGGAGTAGGGACCCATGAGGTGCAAACAGAGGGGCTGGTGGGCTGCAGAGAGGGGAGGGAGGCACAGTTCAGTGGACTGGGCCTGCCCAGGAGACCGAAGGGCCCTGGTTTGACAGGCCAGGAGCCCAGCAGGCCCAGACTTGACCTCAAAGTGGCCAGAGCCTGGGGCCTGGAGCTGCAATACCCACTTTTCCTTCCCCAACATCCTGTCCCACAAACATGCCCCAGCTGGCCCGGCCTCAGGGGAAGGTTCCTAGGTGAACTCTCGTTCAGGCATCCTGGCTGCAGCTGGGCAGCCCTGAGCCTCCCCATCTCCCCAGCGTTTCTAGGCCACAGCAGCACCCTCTGGCCAGACCCCTCTACCCAACTGGCATCACTCCCATCTACCTGCAGTCCCCTCAAGGCTTATAGATAATCAAGTCGCCACACTTCCACCTGGTGTTGAACCCACCCTGGAATGTCCCCTCTGCACTTGCTCTCACAACCCACCCTGGAAAGATGCTCCTCTTAGCTGGTCCCTAACTTCCTCTGCTCTGGGATCCATGCCCATGTTCTCTCTCGAACCCGTACTACCTCCCCCAACCTTCTCTGCCTCACAAAAACCTTTCTCCATTTTCAAAGCCCAGGCCAAAAGCCACCACCACCACGCTGTCCCTAGTCCCTCCAGGTGGACAAGCGCTCACACTCAGGCCATGTGGCTGAGCCCCACTCCACACCACGTCCCACCTGTCTCCTCACCTAATTAATTCTCCTGACAACCCATCAGGATTGAGGTTCCACACCTCAGAAAGGCCAGGTGGCTCGCCCATGATTGCACGGTGGCAGGTGGCAAAGGCCGCGAGTGATTTGAACTGCATTCAGCAGAGTCCAAGACTAACTCCATCAACGCAAGGTTCGTCTTCTCATCTCCCCACAGGTGATGGGCAGAGAAAGGCCCACAGCCAGCTGACCTGCTCACTGGAACCCACTCCTTCCAGGTCTGGGAGAAAGAGCTAGAGAGACCGGCTGGGGCAGGGCACCCCTCCCAGGAGCCCAGGAAACGTGGGCACACCACGGGCAGGGGCAGAGGCAGAGCTGCTGCTGGAGATACAGCCAGGTCCCAACAGCAGCTCATTGTGCGGCCAGGGAGCAGGAACAAGGAGACCTTGTCCCAGCTCCTGGGCCACAGCCTTATCTGATAGCCTTCCAGCCAACCCACGAGCTGTTTTTCAACCCCGTCCTTTTTTCTCTTAAAAGGTTAGTGACACAGAAGTTTAGCAAATTCCCCATTATTTCAAGGAGGGAGGAGACCCCAAAACAAAACCTGCAATTATCAACAAGATCCTGACATGGGGAGGACTTCACCAGCTATGGGTGGGGTGAGCTGAAAGTGGGGTTGTATAGCCTGGAAAGTAAGAGCCTCAGAGGGGGCAGAGGGGGCTGCCCTGTATGCCCCCAGGGGGCAGGGCTGGGACCAGGAGAGGTCAATTACAGCTCAGTCACAGCTGGCCCCACATGGGCCAGGATGGTTCTAGGGGAGTCAGCACCCAGTCTCTGACGGTGTGCAGGTAGGAACTGGGAGACCCTTTCAGACATGCTGTGGAGGAGATGCCTACACTGCTAGGGGGCTGTTAGGGTAACAGGCCGGGCAGTCAGAACATGCAGGCAGGCAGTGGAAGGAGCCCCAGGAGTGAGCACGCACGTCCCCCTGCCCCCCTGCCCCCCCCACACCTGTCGATGGGAATAGGCAGGAGGGCAGGAGGGCCTACTAGTGTCAAGGGTGCCCAGCTGTAATCTAGTCTCCATTCCTTATAAAACACGCAACCTTGAGATTTTTAAATCATTCAACTCTCCAGGCCTCAGTTTCCCCATCCATAAGTGGGGAGAATGAATCTCTTCCTCAGAGGGCTGCTGTAAGGATCAGGTGAGAACGTGGGGGAGATGCTAGGGAGAGCAGGGGTTGACGCCGGTGACTCCATCAGTCACTTGTGACAGTTCCAGTGGCAGGAGCAGGGAACGGCTGTGAACAAGGAAGGATGCACCTGCTGTTATCGAGGTTGACGGCAGATGACGCTCCTGACATTTGGGGCGACAAGATAGGGACTCCCCAGGCCATTCTGTTTCCTTCCTCTGACCACTCAAATCCCTTACCTTCTTCTCCATGCCTCCATTTTCCCATCTACAAAATGGGACAAACTCCCTCTACCCAAATGCAGGGATGTCTCAAAAAAAAAAAAAAAAGCCCTTAATTTCCTGTGTGGGCCCTTGCCACTGCCACTGCCACTGCCATAGCCAGGCCTGGAAGGGGCAGAATCCTGGATAAAGCTGGTCTCCAGAGAGGAGGTGCCCACTTAAGGGCTGGCAGGACCTTCGGACTGTGGAGTCAGGTCACAGCGTGCCAACCATGCCTCTGCCTGTCACAGCCGGGCAGGTCCAGGAGGCCGTGCTGAGAATCTGCCCACGGGTCCTGGCACACAGGCAGAGAAAGGGCACTGACCTCCTGGGAATCCAGTGAATCTAGTGGCAGGACAGTGCCCCACCCAGAACGCCCAGCAGAGCCAACTCCCCCCAGGCCCAGCCTCGCCCTCCAGGCCTGGGAACCGGCTGCTCAGCGGCCACCAGCTGGGGTCCCAGGGGAAGGGAGAAGAATGCAGCCTCCAGGCCCAGCCTTGCCCTCCAGGCCTGGGAACCGGCTGCTCAGCGGCCAGCGCTCAACTCCTGGCCCAGCTGGGGTCCCAGGGGAAGGGAGAAGAATGCAGCCGCCCTGCGGCTCCCAGGGCCCTGGGGAGACAGAGCCTGTCCTTAAAAGGCAGGGAGGTTACCCGTCCTGCCTGAGAAGGCTCCCTGGGATGACAGGGCCTGGCCTGGAGGCACGGACTCTCTTGGCCCAGGGTTCCCTGAATCCAAGGCGAGGGGGCAGGTCCTAGCAGTCACTAGAACCAGCACGACCCTGTCCCCATACCCACACGAGCCCTGGGCTGGGAGGGGCCTG